ATAACCCCAATATAACCCCAAAATTACCTAAACCCTAAACCCTAAACCCCCAATGGATACCTATAAGCCCCCCTGAGGTGTTGGGTCAATCTCAACTGGCCGGCAGCCCAAAGATCCCTGAGTGGGGGATTCCTCTGCCTCAGTATCTTACTGGTGGTTAGTAGGGTTTAGGGTTTAGGGTTCAGGGTTTAGGATTTAGGGTTTAGGGATGTTTAGGGTTTAGGGTTCAGAGTTTAGGGAATAGAATCCCAATGAAATCCCCATGTAATCCTGGCAACGTCCTTATGTAATCCCTATATAATCCTGCTTAGCCCCTTTATAGTCACCATAAAATCCCTATAGAATCCTGATGAATTCTAAAGCCCCTAGAATATCAATATCCCTATGTAAGCCCTCTATCATGTATTCCCTTATGCCCTGCTGAGCCGCAGTAAGGTATCCCAGCGTCAGCTTACTGGACTGGCGTACCGGCTTAGGCAACCGGCGTCATTGTTGAAAAATAGTTCAGGGTATAGTCACCTTTAAGTAGATAGAATCTGCCCTTGGGTATATTAGAATAGGATCCCCATGTACCCCACATTCTATCTACTTAAGGGGGACTACTTACAGCATTTTGGAGGCTATCTTGTGGTCCCCCTATTTTGGGAAACAATCCGTTCTCATCTTATTTTATTGTATCCCCAAAAGCTTAATCCCTGAGGCAATGCGCGGTACTGGGTGCTAAAGCTCCTCATTGAGGAATTTGCTCCTGGAGACAGCCTGGTCTCAACACAATGCACATCGGAAGTATCACAAGAGGACTAGACTGCAGGGTGTAGCGCAACGCTTCTTAAATCCAAAGTAGCAACCCTTGCCATCTTATGGGCGCCCCCTAAGCCCTAAACCCCAAACTCTAAACCCTGAACCCTAAGCCCTGAACCCTAAAGTCCAAATTTTGAGGACCCAGAGCCATTGAGCTGCATGGGTGCCATCACAAAGGCTGGTTCTCGGAAGCTTCTGATAGTCAATCATCTGAACAGTGCCCCTGGGTCATCATCAGGTAAAAGCAATCGTTTTCCAAAACAGCGCTAAGTTCATACGAGATCCAAAAGATACGGGTTTAGAGTTTAGGCAGCTTTAAAGCAGTTTCGCCGCAGAATCCTGACTCCTAAGAAGGCCTCGTGAATGTTTAGGTTATCAAGGCTGCCAGCTTCTAGACTTCCTTGACCCCATGAGACCCTAAACCCTAAACCGCAAATCCCAAACCCTAAACCTTAAACTCTAAATCCCAAACCCTAAACCCTAAATCCCAAACCCTAAACCCTAGGCCCTAAACCCCAGACCCACCCCAGCCTGAACCCTTAACCCTAGACCCCCAACCTGAGGTCCAGACAACAAAGTTCAGTGGCTTTTCGGAAGGCAGCCTGGCCTTGCGAATCGTGGATCCCAAGTCTGTGCAAAGGGCAACTAGGCGGCAGTGTGGGATACTTCTTTTTAGGGCTTGGGGCTTCGGATTTAGAGATTCGTGTTCACGGTGGGTGGGTGCAGGACAGGGTTTTCAGTGTAATGGGTTTAATGTTTAGGATTCAGAGGTTGATTTGGCACAAGGTGTTTTTCAAAGAAAGATGTTTCTAGAGCGCCCCAGGACATATAGAGGGATTGCGATTGTGGGGTCGACAAACTCCTGGACATTTATCATGTGCCCTGTTGCTCTATAGGAGAGCGCAAAGTAGAATCCTTGGCTAATATGATTCCTTTTTGAATCAGTATATAGCTCTGGTAAAGTATACGCCCAAGTTTTTTGGTAGTAATTAGGCTTCTAGTATCCATTCACAGTTTGGGCGGCCTTTGAAGTGCGAACGAGGCAAGCGCTTCTGGCATCCGCACCTCCACGCTGAAAGATGCCAGTGAATCCTTTAGTTTAGAAGCCTTCGCAGTCGTAGTCGCCTCACGTGCCTCCGCACCGCAGGCTGTCTTTGTATGAGCTGTCCACGCTGGCGAGCAGTGGCTATCTCAAACTATGCGGTAGCTGGAGGGATCAGAAGAGGAGTTTGCAAATCTTAAGGGCCCATTTTGCGGGCTCCTATAGTGAGGCTGCCAGTATATGAGGGTATATTAGGTGGCCCTGATGTAGGTTGTTTTGCAAAACTTCCTTTCGTCGATTTTGGCGCTCGCCCGGCCAGTCCGACCATGTGCTAGCCCAGACAACTCCAAGGTGAGCGGGCCACATTTGAATCAGGTCAAAAGTCTTTAGGGTTTAGGGTTCAGGGCTTTGGGTTTAGGGTGTTCAAGGTTTAGGGTTTAGGGTTCCGGGCTTTGGGTTTAGGGTGTTCAAGGTTTAGGGTTTAGGGTTTTTATGGCTCAGGGTTTAGGGGTTCAAATTTTAGGGTTTAGGGCTTAGGGGGGCCACATTTGAGTCAGATAGAAACTCGTGGGTGCTCCTACTCCCCAATACTACCTGCCTAGCTTCCCCTTGAACAAGCTTACTGAATAAAATATAGTGACATGAAGGGGGAACCCTGGGGTAGTAGGGGAATGAAATGGGAATTAGGGGCTTAGTTTTTTGTTTCAAATCTTAGGTGAGGTTGTGTAGGGGCCCGTCATCTTGAGAATCGCGGATGGCAATCAGACTTCAGTTCAACCGCCCTAGCCACAAAATGTGCCGCCTTCACTATTTCGGTTCCAGGGTCTAGGTTTAATGTTTCATGGGAAAACAATCTCGTTGCAATTCGGAGGCACGGAGGACATTTTCCTTGAAATTTGAAAAGCACTCCTATTTCGCTGGTGTTGTTTTTCATTCATATTTTGTGTACAAACCCAGTGCTAAGTGGGAGCAGCTTCCCGCCCCAAAAACACAAATCTCAGACCCCGATCCTTATGCGTACCCCGAACCCTCAAAGCCTCCACGGCCAAGGCCCTACAGCCCCAAACCCCTCGAATCCTCTCACCCTCGAAACACCCTGAAACCTTTACTTTAAACCCGGAACCCAAAACTTTTCCCGATGCCCTGAAACTCTACGGCCTCAAGCCGCGGACCCCCAAACCCAAATGGTAGTTGGGTAGTTTCCCCAAACAGGGAGACCCCAATATACAGACCCCAAAATGCACAATCCGTATTGCGCAAAAAGGGTACCCCTCATTTTGCCAAATCCCCAAATCTTGAAGCCCTCAGTTTGGTGTTCATTGGGAGAGTATTCGACACTTACCCGCAAAACCTGGCTACCTAAAACCGAGCGGAGCATAATGCCAAAACCATCACCTCTAAATTTTAAATTATGGCACACTGTCTTTTTAGGTATAGTTATAAGTTCATTATTCAGCAATGACTCAGTAGACACACAGCGGAAATCACGATTTAGGATTTCAGGATTTAGGGTTCAGGATTTAGGGTTTAGGGTTTGGGGTTTGATTAGACTTCACGGTTAGGCTTTAGGGTTCAGGCTTTGTGGTTTTATTGGGCTTTTGGATTTGGGGTTCGGCCTTTGGGGCTTCATTAGGCTTCAGGATTTAGGGTATGGGGTTTGGGGTTTCGGGTTTAGGCTTCAGGGTTTGGGATTTAGAGTTTTGGCTTCAGGGTTTGGGCTCTAAGGTTCAGGATGTCGCGTTCAGGATTTTGTGTGTAGGTTGTTCGGTCACCAGTTTTCTCCCTGCCTACCCCTCTATAACTATAGCAAAAGTTACTCCAAGATCTTATTCCAAGTATTTATGTCCCAGCAACAACGCCTATATAAACCCAGTTTCCATTTCATTGTCCAGTTTCTTTTGCACTTGATTCTCCTCTAGCCCTGAGCTCCCAAACCTCAATCCTACACCTTAAAACCCAAGCCCCAAATAGCTGCTAAACACAGAGACAAATCTTACTTTCCGTAAAAAGGGGGACCCCAATCTAACCACTGAAGCAGTAAAATCCTTAATGAAAATGGGCCCCCCAACAAATACCGCCCATTTTGAGACACCCTAAGCTCCTAAACCCTGAACAAAAGCCTAACTGATCCTATAAATCCCATAGACCCCTACATGCCCCTATATGACCCTATATGACCCCTACATCCTTTGAAAGGCACCTTAAACCCTAAACCCTGAACCCTAAGCCCGATTGGGAAACCTCCAAATTAGCCACAAAGCTGCAGGATTCGCCTCAGAGCATCGAGCTTTGCATCGAAGGCTTCAAGCACTGCATCAGGCGCCTGATGTTTAGGGTTTAGGAAGCTTCATTGGTACGGTGGATACTAAAATTCCTCCATGGCCCTAAGTTCTTTCTACATTGGGACTTATAGTACTTTAGTATAGTAAGGTCATCCCGGGATTCGGTATCAACAGTAATTTAGAGTGTAGGTTTAGGGTTTGAGTTGTCGTGTTTGGAGTTGAGGTTTTGGATTTAGCTCACGTGGTCTCAATTTACCCATGACCTGAAAATGGTGTCCTCAAGGGGGGAGCTGCTTGGGTGTCTAGGAATGTAGATGTATGTTTCTCTCCGGCATCGCCGAGGGTGTCGTCACCGAAACAGCTTCTTCTCTACCGAGACGTATCTATCTTCATATGTATAATTGCTCATACAGAGGTTGAGGGACTAGGGTGTAGAGGTTAGGTGTAGAGTCTAGCCCCAATATAACCCTAATATATACCCCATTATACATAGTATTTTCCATTTTATTTTCCATTATCCCTATGTAACCCCAATAGAACCCTAATATNNTATAGTAGTTTCCATTTTCTTTTGGCACAGTGGAAAGGTGAACGTAAGTAGCATCCCAGGGGGTCAAGGTGGAGACGGTATAGCCCTGTTAATGACCCTAGGCTACCAGTTACCTAACTAGTAGGTTACTGGGCTATGTAACTATAGGGTATATGGAACCCAGTTCCCATTGTTTAGGTAATTGGAAGCCCTGGGTGATATAACTTCAAGCTGCCATTCCAGCGCAGGCACCAGTCAGTCGTGTTGCGCCTCCCTTCCAACCACATACCACTGAGGCTTAAAGGAAGGTTATTTGGGTTGTCAGTCTTCTCTGATAGTGGGGTTGTAAAGGGGGATGTAGCCTATGTAACCCCAATAGAAGCCTAATATCTACACCATTATACTATAGTAGTTTCCATTTTTTCCATTATCCCTATATAACTCCAATAGAACTCTAATATATACACCATTATACTATAGTAGTTTCCATTTTATTTTCCATTATCCCTATATAACCCCAATAGAACCCTAATATATACACCATTATACTATA